GGGGCTGCAGGGCGGCGGGGAGGCAGCTGCTCTGTGCGCAGCTACTGCTCCAAGAAAACCACTCAGGTCCTGGGGAAGAGAAGCTCCAAGCTCTCCAGGCTGCCTCCCGGCTGCTTAAAGGGACGCCTCCCCACCTCCTGCTCCGTTTATTGGTGAAAATTCCGAGCCACAGGCCAATCCTAGGCCTGTTCCCAAATTGAGATTTTAATCAAGGGAGCTACCGCTGTAAAATTAGAAAGGGCTGATGGGGGAGGGGGGCCGTGCTCTGGCCACCTTTCCAGGCAGAAAGACACAGGCTACCCAGCCTTGGGCCTTGAGGTCCTGAGAGCTGGCAGTGGCTAAAAGGGCAAGATTAGACTGCAGAGCATATAAGGGGAGACTCTGTCTTCATCTCTCCTGTCCACCTTGTCAACCTGCTCTCATTCTTCCAGACCCATCCGATTCACCACAAACTCTGGAAGTCTTCCGGACCCTCTGCTCTTGGAAGGGCCTTCAAGCTACATGCTCCTCAAGCCTGCACGGAATGGATCTCCCTCCAGCATTCATTACACTCACTTTTTTTCCTTCATCTGTTACTCCCTTTGCATGTTTAAGTTCCACCAGGGTAGCGTAATTTTCACCCACCATCAAGATGTTATCACTCCCTGCTTAGAACATTGTGAGCTCTCCAGTAAATATTTGTTGACTGACTGGGTGAATAAATAAACAAAGAAATGGAACAATTAAATATGGCCTATGTTGGCTATGCCAATACAAGTGTTATATTAAGAGGCAGAAGTCATGAGATTGGGGGCTTATTTTGGACATAACTGTGTTCAAATGTGGCCTCTGCCTCTTACAGGTATGCGAGCTGCTCCTCAGTTTCCTCGTCTGAAAAGCATGACCGTGGAATCTATCATCTCACAGGGACGTTGTACGGATCGCACGTATTAGCTCATGTCTAGACTGGAGGAGGTGCTCAGTCAATAGCCATAGACTTCTGAATAGTCAATAGCTGCTGTTATTACTGAAGTTAAAATACATTTTCCGTGGCTGGGGCTGAGTCTGACTGCTGGTTTGACCTCTTGGGGAACATGGTCATTAATGGAACAACTATGAATGATGTCCTGACTCTGTGGCAGGCCCCATGCCAGGTAATGGGGTCACCAATGACCACAAGAGACTTAAGAGGGATGAGGTATGGTGGAAAGGGAAATAAATAGATATATAAACAAAAATAATGACATTAAATTATATAAAAGCAAAGACATTTACAGGAGTGTTAATGGAAAGAGTATTTTAAAGTGTCCAAATGGCTGAAATAATGATTTCCTAATAATAGAGAATATGGTTAAATAAACTATGGTACATCCATATAACAGACTACAAAACAGTCTCTCTCACACACATAAACACACACACACACACACACACACACACGTACCACGAGGCGAAGCCAAGGGCACCAATATGCAATGAACCCTAAAATACATCGCCAAAACTTAATTGTAGGGACAATGTCTGGAGATTAATATTATATACTAGAATTCAATCTGGAAGATCGAACCACAACAGAAGAAAGATTAAGTACATGAGACTGAACTGATGAAACAACATTCATCAGCTTTTCTTCTAAGCTTTGTTGTCCGGTTTTAAAGGATTTTTGTCCTGTCTTGAGCTGTCGATAGGTTCATGTACCTACTATTTGAACAGAATACTAACCTCTTACTAGGCTTTAAGTTCAAGGAAATATTCTTACCAGTTCAAAACTACTTTTCTTGAAATTACCAGCTGAACTTGCTATTGAAAGTAGTTAGATTACTTATGATATTGTGTGATCAACAAAATGTTGGGGGAAAAGGAATTGAAGACAACGAGGCGAAGCCAAGGGCACCAATATGCAATGAACCCTAAAATACATCGCCAAAACTTAATTGTAGGGACAATGTCTGGAGATTAATATTATATACTAGAATTCAATCTGGAAGATCGAACCACAACAGAAGAAAGATTAAGTACATGAGACTGAACTGATGAAACAACATTCATCAGCTTTTCTTCTAAGCTTTGTTGTCCGGTTTTAAAGGATTTTTGTCCTGTCTTGAGCTGTCGATAGGTTCATGTACCTACTATTTGAACAGAATACTAACCTCTTACTAGGCTTTAAGTTCAAGGAAATATTCTTACCAGTTCAAAACTACTTTTCTTGAAATTACCAGCTGAACTTGCTATTGAAAGTAGTTAGATTACTTATGATATTGTGTGATCAACAAAATGTTGGGGGAAAAGGAATTGAAGACAACTGTATATAGCAGAGATAGTGTTAATAAGAGGGTGGGAAAGAGCAGAAGGTGAAACATGGGGTAAAAAAACATATATACGTATACATATACATATATATGAAAGTAGAAATGGAATATTATTGATGATAACATGCATGATTAAGCCACTATGCAGTTTATTCTAGATGGGAAACCACATTTAGTATGTTGTGATGATGCTCAAGGAATGAATGTTAAGTAATTAAAAAAAAAGTTTCAGGAGAAAAAAAAACAGTAAAACTGTTCGTATCGAAATTTTTTAAAAAATGCATATTTGATGACTGCACTAAGCTATATAGCCCCAGCTAGGTACTACTTTATAGTATGTTCATTCTACTCACTGAGGTTTATGCCTAACATCAGACTTAGGTTCATGTATAGGTATATATCAGCTGCGCTAGCTATTGGAAATATTTAGACTAATTAAGTTCATTAGCAAATCAATTAAATGGGGGGGGGAGGCATAGAAAGCAACCATGGATACCAGAGACAATGTGGGAGGAGGATGGGACATGGCAGAGGGTGACGGATAGGGAATCAAGGATGGCAAAACAAAAAAAGTATACAAGACATAAGAAATGGAAAATTATTTGCTGATAACATGCATGTTGATGTGGTTGATTGAGCCAATACACAGTGTATTTTGGATGGAAAATTCATTGTATGCTGTAATGATGTATAGTGAATTAATGTAAAAAAATAAATAAATTTAAAGAGCAAAAAAAAAAAAAGAAAAATACATCACCAAGTACAGTGCAGATGGTAAAACACACTCCAGCTTGCATCTTCAGCCAGTTGCATCTTCACGTAGTATGTATATGCATGTATGTTTTAGGTGCATGACATACTTCTACCATGAGTTTGTAATAAACTCCTGATTCTGGCAAAATGGCCATGATGACAGCCTCAAAACTCCAACCCTTCAAACATTTAGACATGATGGAAGAAATACAACAAAAATTCTTTTAAATGTACAGCTGACTCACAATGAAAGAAAATACTCAAACAGTAGAAATAAAGGGGTAATTAAAAACCAGAGTGGGATGAATGTAAACTTGTACATGAAGTAGAGAAGAAGGTGGTTTGGGGAAGGGAGAAGGTTTGTCTTGATTCCCAGATGACTAGAGGTTTAATGTCCATGCAAGAGACAGAAAAGGCTTTGGGACAAAAAGCAGCAAGACATTCTTATAAGGCCCTTGCATGAAGTCAGAAATACTCAATAAGGGTTGCATCCTTAGTGAATAAATAAATTACAAAAATTGCCAACTAACACAACAAAGTTGTCTCTACCTGAGTTCTAGGTGGGAGGAAAAGTTTTGACAGAGAATTAGAAAGTCCAGTCCTGTGCCTTTCTTAAGATTGGAGAATCAAGAAGTTCTGACTGAAAATTTAACATAGAAACTGACCCTATTCATTATATGCCAGGAATGTCTTACTGAACAAATGTAAAATTTCCCTGAAGAACCACTCTCACAACCCAGGTTACAACGAGCTCTGTAAGGGATGACTCTCAATAGCAAATTATATAACATCCAGGAAACTG